CAAAGTCCAGAAAATCAGCGATTTTAGCTCACAGACCAAAGTCCACAGAGAAAATCAGTGATTTTAGCTCACAGACCAAAGTCCACAGAGAAAATCAGTGATTTTAGCTCACAGACCAAAGTCCATAGAGAAAATCAGTGATTTTGCTTAAAAGAGACACAACAGTTCCTAATTCACTACTGCCTCCCCCTCTGTGTGTCATCAAACAGTGGGATGAAGCAGTAAATAGATTCAGAAGAAAATATAGTCAGGCTAAAAAAAACAGAATCTTCTGTTTAAAGCCATGAATCTCATACAGGTTTCTAAACTGACTGTTTGTATCTCTTTTAAATCAGGAGAGAAAGTTTTGAACAGATTTAAAGATTTTGTCTGTTAGTCACATCACATTCAACCATTCATTAAAAAACTGCCAGACCTGGTGATGTAGGGACAGAGTGAGGGGAGGAAGAAGGAGACGAGGAGAAAACAAAATGTTCCCTCATTATGCTCCACTCCTCCGGCTTTCATCCCTCCATCCTGGTCTTCTCTCCTCCCACTGCATTTTCTCCTTCTCCATTCATCCTTTCTTTACTTCCAGGCTTTTCCCCCGGTTCTTTCTGCTGCTTCTATTTCTCCTCTCATTTCTATTTTTTTATTCTTTTTTAGGGAGCTGAGAGAGGAGAGTGGCCAGTTACCATGGCAACAGGAAGCTGACTGCAAACCATACCTGAGTGCTGTGGGGTTTTTTTTTTCCTTTTTTTAACCAGAAGAAGCCGTCACATGAACAGGACTGTAATAAACTGCTGATATCCTGGTTCACATTCATCAACTCCATCGGTTCTACCCAAAGACCGTCTCCTCTGAGCTGCAGACCCTCACCAAGGCTCCACACCAAAATAAATCATGCTGTTGTGCTCACTGACCTGCTTCTGTCATTACAAATAACAAGTAAACAAAAGTAAAGTCACTCAGTGTCACACACAGCCTGCAGCCAACAGTCAAAGAAAGCATTAAGACAAGCATTAAGAAGTGCTGGTCCACCGCTGCCTCCTGTGGTAAATCGGAGGATTTTAAACAGAAGTCACAAAATAAGACATTTGAACTTTTTTAACCAGGGCAGCGGTGGATGTGTCTCTGTGAGGGGTTTGGTGCAGGTGATATAAAGTGGTCTAGAGCGCTGCACGGGAAATGAACCGTCTGTGTGAAATGAGATGATAATGCAAATGTGTGTGATTTTTCCAACGGAATGATGTCATCGGAGAGAACCAATAGGAGTGAAAGTGATGGAGCATGTGATGAGGCTGAGGTGAAGATACAGATGATGATGATGAAGACCAGAAAGAGATTAGAGTCAAAGTCTAACCTGCCCACCTGCCAAACTCAGAGGGTGACGGAGGGCGAGAGGCAGAGAGAGGGAGGAAGAGAGAGGTTCAACTATAAATGGATGAGCATGAAGAAAAGGAGCAGGAGGAGGAGCAGGTGGAGGATGATGAGGAGGAGGAGGAGACCGGTGACGAAGCAGTTGCTATGCCAAAACCACAGGAAGAGCAGCAGATAAAACAGCTCTTACTCAACGGTGCCAGGAACATTTAGAACCGGGAACCATTTCATTAGAGCAGCACTTATAGATTACACTATTTACAGGTTTTAAAATTGCTTAGTAATATAAAGTGCAGTTCTCCTACCAATCACAAGGCTGTCAGCTGTAAGCTCCGCCCACTGAGTTCCTGTGCCAACTAACAGTCCTACCTCTGGAGCAGAAAGGGTTTTTGAAACAGTTACAGTACTTTTCAGTTGCTCCTGTTCCCTGCTTCAGGAATGAAAGTTCAGAATTCAGCGCCTTTTTCTTGCACCCTCTCATCAAACCTGACATAGTTCCTGGTACTGTTGTAACTGTCCATAGTACTTGTTCCTGGAGAGGGACAAAACCTTTTTATAGATTTTTTTTTTCTTGTATCAGGTCCTGTGATCTAAGATGCTATGGGTTGTCTATAATCAGTACCGGCCAATGTCAGGTGCTATTTGATGCTAATCGGTACCTGCGATGTCAAATGGTATCCAGTTGACTCTAATGAGTACCTGTGATGTCAGGTGGTACGAATTGTGCCGGCGTACGTCTCCCTGGATTCCAGCGTGGTTTCTCGGCCACAGGAGGTCCGACGTTCCCTGACGTGGCCGTACTGCTGCTGCTGTTGTTACTGCTCCAGACCAGCGGGGGGCGGTCTGAGCCGCAGGGAGACGGGGATGGAGACGGAGACGGGTCAGTGACGGACCTCAGTCCAAAGACTGAGGAGGTGGTTTCATCGTCATACAGCTGTCTGGAGGCTGGCTGCAGGAACCAAGACCCCGAGAGCGCGTTCGTCTTCGTGAACCCAGGAACATCAGACCCTTCACTGGGTCATCACTCTGAGGTTCTGACGGTGTGTGTGTGTGTTTACCAGGAAGATAAAGTCAGGTCTTGATGATGTGTCGTCAGAGCTCTGTGGAGACGGATGTCTGAAGGTCTGACCTGTCAGTTTGGAATCGTACAACTGCTCCTCAAAATCTGTGTCACAGAAACCAAAATGACAAAAACGTTAGCATCTGTTGTATTTTGGAAACTCTGAGTGTGTACACCACTCTCTCCACCAAACCAAATCCCATAGAGAATGTGAGTAATTCAAGTGCAGGGACAGAGGAGCAGACAGGGGGCAGCAGTGGAATAACAACTGTGTCAGCTAAAATCACTCATTTTCTCCATGAAGTTTGGTGTGAAAAGCCTCAGTCTGGAGTTTCCCAGCACTGACTGCTCACTGAAGCTCCTCAGGTTCTCCTTTAATCCCTGTCCCATCTGTGGTGCCTCCTTCTCCACTTTCGTTCACTCCTTATCTTCTACTCACTCCACTGCGTCTCCTTCTGCCTCTCCTCCGGTGTCCCTCCTTCCTCTTGCTCTTCCTCACCTCATGTGAATGTTTCTTTCTTTTTCTGCTGGATTAGACTGACTGAGCGACTCCCCCTCAGGCCTTTGTAAACAGATTCCTAACCCCCACCTCCTCACACACACACACACACACAAAAAAAAACCACATTCCCCCTCTCACAATCCCTCAGCCAATCCTAAACCCCAAATCCCACTCCATACACACACACACACACACACACTTTAAGCCCTGACACACACACACACACACACAGCTGGTCCAAATTCTGTTTTGAACTTGTTCCTGGACAGTTTAGAATCTTATGAGCATGGTTGCCTAGCAACAAAAGGCGGGGTTACATAAGCCCCGCCCACCTGACGTAGAGTGGGTGTGGTTAATAATGTCAGTTCTCAGCGAGGACATCAAGTCATTAAGAGAGTTTTTAATGTTTCCTGAACCAACAGTGATTACAGTCAGAGCAGTGGAGGGTGATTTACTGACAGCAGTACAGACGCCGTCACAGATTTTTGGTGCTAATGTTCTAAATCCTGTCCACCAATTGTTGCCTTATCTTTAGTTATCTTCGACACAGTTCCCTCCAACATGTTCTCATTTTCCTGGAATATTTTAACAAAAGTACTTATTAATACTTTCAATAAACGTTAAATAATTTCTTCAATTTTAACCCTAAAACATGTATGTGAGTTTTATACCATCGACTAAACTGTGGATATTTCCTGGTTTTCTTGCTCTTCATCTATTAGCTATTTTGTTGTACTTTTTGCTAACATCCATCCATCCACTTATCCGTCACCGCGTCGCGGGGCAGCAGTCTCCACGACCACCACCCAAATCCCACTGCACCGTACCAACCCCCCTAAACCTTCCTGCAGGTGGTGAGTCCACTGGAAGGTACCAACCGCCCTGACCAGGATTCTAACTCACCCAGGAGGTGAACTCTGGGGTTCCACACCAGTGACAGAGACATGGCCTCTGGGACAAAGTGCCACAACCTTTAGCTGTTTTTATATTAATTTATTAATTGTCCCGCATTCACCTGACTTTCTAATCCTAATCTGTAATCCTTTCTCCGTCACCGTTGACAGGACAGACCAGAGTTCAGACCAGAGACATAAAAACCCAACCAAGCCAACGATATTTGCCCCGGTTGAATCAAATTCAGGTCACTCTTTTCTTTTCCCTCTTCACAAATATAAGTGGGGGGAGCCAGGGGGGAGAAGGTGGGGAGGGGGCACCAATGAACAATAGCCTCATTCATCACCGCCACACTGATTTTTGTGCACGTACAGTCGGTGCACAGCGCCACAGATTTTCACGCACCAGTTTTTACATCTCAGCGACGTCTCAGCCTTTTATGATTTTCTTTAAAGTGGGGACGAGTCCATGAAAGAGTGACTCCCTCTAAAGGACGAAGCGGTATTTGTTGGAGTTCATGGACCATGATGGTCCTGACCTGGAATTACCATGACGTCCAGGAGAAAACAGGAGCAGAGACAATGTTCCACAACCTTCTCCTTTTGACATAAAGATAATAATAGTTTTCTTTTATTCAAATAATAACAGATTTAAACTGTGGTATTATTCCTTTTTGTTTTTTCACAGTGACCGTGGGAACTGCTGATGTGGAAGATCACAGGGAGCTCCAGAGGACGTTGTTGGTTTCTCTGACTGTCAGAGAGACGTTTCAGACGTCACGTCATTTTCTCTACACCCAGCACTGACACTGGTCAGTAAACCCATGTCTAAGACATCACAGACATCACAGACATCACAGATGTCATCACAGGAGCACTCACTCCAGTTTAGTCTTGTTAACTGACTAAAATATCAAACCCCAACATCTGAACCAGGATCAGTTAAAGGGCTGTGCTGACATTTTAGCGTCGTCTCAGTGCAGAGCCTTCAGTGACATCATCACCACACACTGGTTTGTCAGGACTGAGCAGATGATACTGACGGAGCCAACAGCAGTCTGTCGTTGTCAGTGTGACGGTTGACAACAAACACACGAAAACAGGCGCACACACAGCTTTTATTGCTGTTGTTGTTGTTGTCATCGATGATGTAAGAGGTGAGCAACAATGACAGCAAATACACTAGGTTAACGGGAAAATCAACAAAAATCTAAAATGATGAAAAACAACTCAGTGCTGCTACAAATACAACACAGTGACTAATGTGTTTTAAAGGTGAAGAAAAGAGACGCAAATAATCACTGAACGTTATCACCAAGACAGACGCTCAAACAGACGGTGAAATATTTCTGTAGATTATTCTAGAAACAGAAATCATTTGTATGAAATTTTAAAAATAGTTCAAGTTAAACCACGCTGCAGCTAGTAAAGCTAGTTAGTTAGTTTACTACATTTACTCACAACATCTGAGATCTGGTTTTAATCTAATGTTTAGCTGAAGCTGTGATTTGTTAAATAAATGAACTCATCAAACTTCCTGTGAGACGGTTCTAGACCGGACTCACATCAGGCTCGGGCTCACAGTTGGCCCCAGGACCTTATGTTGAGCATTTTCACCTTAGATGATAAATAGATGAACAGAGATAAGGTCGAGCAAAGGGCGAGACAGCATGAGTCACAGAGAGAGAGAGAGAGAGAGAGAGAATTTTATATATATATATAGAGAGAGAGAGAGAGAGAAACTGGAACACTATTCAAAGAGAGAAACGGTGTCACCTGAGAACAATTTGAAAAACAAACTCACACACACACACACACACACACACACACCTGAAGGACACCCACAGCAGATGCTGCATCTTCATCCTCCATAAACAACAGATTCATATCAATTTTAAAATGACATCACAGCAGCAGTGTCACAACACACACACACACACACACCCTACTGTAAAACATAAACACACACAGTATCTGCAGGATAACACACACACACACACACACCGTGAAAAGAGCTGACACACACCCATATGTCTGCAGTCACAGTAAACACACACACACGCAAAGGTTTTTTTTATCAAACGTCCTTCAATTTTCCATGGGCAGATCAAACACACACACACACACACACACACACTCACACACAGATGCACGGTGGCGTAACTCACACTCCAGTGCACGCTCTCAGCTGACAGTACCTTGCAGGAGGCTCTGGAGGTTGAGCTGCGCCTCCTGGTGCAGCTCCTCCACACACTCGGGCCTGCTCCACGCTCCAAACACGTTCACGCTCTGTTGCCATGGAGACCTGAAGTGGGAGGGGCCGCTGCCGTCCCTGCTGATGCTGCTGACGCTACTGCCGCTGCCACCGACACCACCACCTCCTGCTCCTGCTGCTCCTCCACCTCCTCTGTCGGAGGTTCTGCTGCTGCTGCTGCTGCTGCTGCCGACAAGGCGTCTACTGCTGCGATCTGAGTCTAAACCACTGACCGCTGAGAGGAGGAGGAGGAGGAGGAGGAGGAGAGGAGAGAGGAAGTGATGATGAACTCAGGGAGAGGATGAGGGAGCACAGGCAAAACAGGGGGAGAAAATGATATTAATGAAAGGTAATAGGGAGGAAATGATGAGAGGAGGAGAGGGAGGAGCACAGAAGGAGGAGGTAATTACAGATGGGCGAAGTGAAAGGTGAAGAAATTTTGTTTCGAAAAAGGAGAATGAAGAAGGAGAAGAGAGGAGATGCAGGAATTATATGTTGAAGGGAGAGAGGAAGGAGAGGAAATGTTGAGACAAGGTGATGGCGAGGGGGAGGAACGGGAGATAGGAAAACAAACAAGGATGGAGCAGAAATTGTTTTGGTTTTTTTTGCAGTGGTGTTGAAATAAGATGAGGAGAACAGAGAACATGGAGGAGCAGAGGAGAGAGAAAAGAAGGAGGAGAGGGATGAAAAACAGAAAGGACAAAAGTAAGTGGAGGAGGAAGAGGAAAAGACAAATGTTCAGAAGGAAGAGATGATGGGAGGAAAGGGGAGAGGAGAAGAAGGAGAAGATAGAGATAGGATGAGGAAGAGGGGGGGTTAGGAAGAGATGGAAGTTAAAAAGCCGGAATATCGGGACAAGAAGGAACGATGGAAGGTAATATGGAGAGGAGAGAAGGAGGGAGGAGAAGGGAGGAGAAGAAACACGTTTGAATCAAAACATTTGAAGTGTCATCAAAAAATGCAATAATAATTCCCAGGACATTCCCAGATTACATAACAAACAAAACAGTGTTGTCAGGAAACACAAGGACCGTGAGAGAGAAGGGAGGGGGGAGTATAGAAGGAGGTACAGTCGTAGGAAAAGAAAAGGAGGAGTTTGGAAGGAAAGGCAATCAGGAATTAGTCGGGAGGAAAATCAGGATTGATTATCGTATAAAATCCAGGGACAAGAATTAAAAGGAGGAGAGAAACCAGGAAGGGAGGTCCAGGAGGAGGAGTCAGAGGCTGGAAGAAGGAGGGATGACATCGTCAACGCTCCTCATCCACAGATCTCCGCTAACACAAACAGACAATCATAACAAATCACTACCAGGCGCAAAAATGGCCTTTTTTAACGTTGACGGGAGTGGGATGTTCCTTTTAATGTGAGCTGACAGGAAATACAGAAATACGACATCCTGGTACACAGAGAATTCTACATTAGCTTCAGTCTGTTTAGGTCCGTGTCCGTTGGACAGACTTTGTTAAAAGAAGCTGAGGTTTGAAAACCACTCCCATACAGAGGTCCATAGAGAGAATCAGTGATTTTAGCTCATAGGGACAAGTTCAATTGTGTTATTGGGTGACTTTTTAGCACAGAAATATGCACTTAACGTCGTGACACAAGATCACCACAAGGGGCAGCAGTCGACCTGCAGCAGTGTCACTGTGAACTAATATCAATATCAATTGTATCAAATATAATATAACTTTTAAAAAGAAAAGACATGATGATGATGATGATGGTGATGATGATGATGATGGTGATGATGATGATGATGATGATGATGATGATGATGATGATGATGATGATGATGATGATGATGATGATGATGATGATGATGATGATGATGATGATGATGATGATGATGATGATGATGATGATGATGATGATGATGATGATGATGATGATGATGATGATGATGATGATGATGATGATGATGATGATGATGATGATGATGATAATGATGATGATGATTCAAAGATCAGTCAGAAATGCTTAAAGAAATGTATTTCATTTTTTTTATTACAAAACAAATGTCTAATGAATCCTGTCTTCAGATATCACTTCCTGTCTTATGTAACCATAGTTACAGTGGAGACAGAGAGAGAGGCGGTGAGAGAGTGAACGCCACAGAGCAGATGTAAAGGAAATATGAAATATTTCCACCGTCTGCAGAAAAAAGACGCAAAGTCCAGCATTTGTGTCTGAGTGTGAGTGTGTGTTTGTGTATGTGTGTGTGCTTGTGCGCGTGTGCATGTGTCAGCGCCCTTTACTGCAGCAGCCTGTGATCTGTAATCTCACTCAGCTCAGGGCTGCCCTCTGCAGGAAAAGCGGGTCAACAGCACGGAGCAGACAACAACAGTGAGTTAGTGATGGGACTGTGGTGAGGGAACAGAACAACGACAACAAACTGGTGAGCAGCAGTCAACAGACAGGACCAATCGCTCTCCACACTGGCTGACGCTCCGTCATGTGACCAGTCAGTAAACAGACGGAGGATCATGTGATGTCCGTCACACGTCTGTCACCAGCTGTGACCACAGTAACATCTGTCAGAACGGTCTGCTGTAGACTGGGTGGTCTGTAGACCACTGGGTGGAGAACTGGGTGAGATGTTCTGTTGGTTCCACAGTCTCCAGGTTTGACCTCTGTGTTTATTGGCTGTTTCTGTCTGCTGAACAGGAACAGAACAGGAAGTGGACACAGAGCGGTTTCCTCTCTATTGGCTGTGGGTGTGTGTGTGTGTGTGTGTGCGCGCCTGCCTCAGTGTGTAAATGAGTGTCAGTAAATGAAAGATTGAGAGTAAATCTGAGGCTCAGGGTCAGAGCAGGAAACCTCTGCGGCTGCTCTTATCAGGTCTGCAGGTGAAGGTCGGCCGCAGCAGACCCCGCCCAGAGGAAGTGGTCCCATGACAGACCACTGAGACTGGCAGCCCGTGATAAGGTCCAGTCGGTTCTGACAGGTGTCATGTGACTCAGTGAGGTGGAGACAAAGGTCCAGGAAGTCCCGGGAGTTCAGAAAGTCCCAGGAAGTTCAGCTCCTGGATCTGATCCTGGTCATGATTATTTTTCCAACAGTCAGTTCCAGTCGATAAGAGCAGTAAAAGACTGAGTTCTCAGACTGTGACATCACAGCCTTATTATTATCAGCAGCTGAAACGCAGCCGACGGGAGACATTAGTTAGAATAACCAAATGAAGCTGAGGACAGGTTTATTTAGCTAACAACGATCTGTCAAAGAACAATTCTTCAGTTTCTCTTCAAACACAGTCAGCAGCTAAAAAATATGACCAACTATTTCAACATTTAAAAAATGTAGTTCAACAAAAACAAGAAGAAAGTCACAGATCAGCCAACGGTTGGACCAGGCGTGGCCCACAGTTGGTCCTAAAATTGACCATGGGGGGGGGGGGGGGGGGGGGGGCGGGGCGGGGGTGGGGGACAGCATGGAAGTAAGCCTTCATGTGAACTAAGATAATGACATGTAAAAGTCAGACATAAAGGATAAAATGATAATATAATTTTAGCATTCTCTACGCCATCTACAGGAAATATGTGGACATTGCAGGGAATAGGCAGAAATATAATCACAATACAAAACAGTTATATAATTTGGCGGGCCGGATTACAAAGCTGAATGGGCCGCATCCAGCCCCCGGGCCTTAGTTTGCCTGGGTTAGATAAAAGTAGCTTAATTACATTTAAAAAACACCATAAATGAATAAAGTGAAAAATTAGAGAAGAAAAAATATTAAAATAGAGTTCATTCTGTAAAAATGTGTAGGTTGTTTTTTTAAAGCTTTTTCAAATTATTATTATTAATATTTATAATATTATTATTGTATTTTTTAGCTTTCAGTTGTAATAGTTTTTTATAATATGGCTTCAAAATATGTTGTGGCTCTGTAGCACAACAGCAGTAGAAGAGACTCTCTCTCTCTCTCACACTCTCTCTCTCTCTCTCACACACACACACACTTACAGTGTGTGAAATTCTGTGTGTATGTGTGTGATAAGATCATGTGACCAGCTCTGTGTGAATCTGTGATTTTTCCAAATTGGAGAGAGAGAAACAGTGGAAATCTAAACCTCAGCTGTGTGTGTGTGTGTGTGTGTGTGTGTGTGTGTGTGTGTTAATAATTGCTCAGTTGGAAACAATTCTGTTGTCAAACACCAAACCACTGAGAGCAGAGCGAGAGTCAAACTGCACGTTCAGCAACACACACACACACACTCACAGTGTGTTTGTGTGAGAGAGTGTGTGTGTGTGTGTGTCCATAGAAACACACTGGTACCCAGAAACACACACACACACAGGAATGACCTACACTGACCCTGCACCACCTTCACAGCTCTGTGTGAAAACTAGTGGAGGAGGAAAAGGTGATGCCTCCAACACACACACACACACACACACACTCACAGAGTCTGTGTCATGTTAGTGTGTGTTACATGGAAACCAATGCAGCAGCAGTGATTCCTCTTCTCCTCAAATCTCCAAACTCCTCCACAATCCTCACCACCAAGAACACATTTAACCAACCCTCAGACTTTAACAATCAGAAATACTGGATCACCAAGGAGTAGCTAACTTATCTCATCTGCTACAGTTAGGTCAAGGGCAGAAATACAGGGAACGAAGGATGAAGAGGTCCAGTTGTCCTCTACTTCACTGCTTCAGATCAACCCACCTGGACGACAGAGGACGTCCACAGAGACGTTATCACCGCGGGAAAGTCTCCTTGGACCCTCTGTTATCTTAGCAGGAGTTTCTGTTTCAGTTACAGTTTTAATAGCACTAGTATTAGCAACAGTCACAGCAACAGTCACAACAACAGTCACAACAACAGCCACATCAACAGTCACAACAACGGTCACAACAACAGTCACATCAACAGTCAGCAACAGTCAGCAACAGTCACAGCAACAGTCACAGCAACAGCCACATCAACAGTCACAGCAACAGTCACATCAACAGTCACAGTCACATCAACAGTCACAGCAACAGTACCAACAACAGTCACAGCAACAGTCACAGCAACAGTCACATCAACAGTCACAGCAACAGTCACAGTCACAGCAACAGTATCAACAGCAGTCACATCAACAGTACCTGCAGCAGTACCAGCAACAGTCACATCAACAGTACCAGCAGCAGTACCAGCAACAGTCACATCAACAGTCACATCAACAGTACCAGCAGCAGTACCAGCAGCAGTACCAGCAGCAGTACCAGCAGCAGCACCAGCAGCAGTACCAGCAGCAGTACCAGCAGCAGCACCAGCAGCAGTACCAGCAGCAGTAACAGCAGCAGTAACAACAACAGTCACATCAACAGTTACATCAACAGTCACATTAACAATCACAGCAACAGTCACAACAACAGTCACAACAACAATCACATCAACAGTCACAGCAACAGCCACAACAACAATCACAGCAACAGTCACAACAGTCACAACAACAGTCACATCAATAGATACATCAACAGTCACAACAACAATCACATCAACAGTCACAGCAACAGTCACATCAACAGTCACATCAACAGTAACAGTCAGACCAACAGTAACAGTAACATCAACAGTCACGTCAACAGTCACAGCAACAGTCACATCAACAGTCACAGCAACAGTTACATCAACAATCGCAGCAACAGTACCAGCAACAGTCACATCAACAGTACCAGCAGCAGCACCAGCAGCAGTACCAGCAGCAGCACCAGCCCCAGCAGCAGTACCAGCAGCAGTACCAGGAGCAGTACCAGCAGCAGCACCAGCAGCAGTCCCAGCAGCAGTACCAGCAGCAGTACCAGGAGCAGTACCAGCAGCAGTACCAGCAGCAGTACCAGCAGCAGCACCAGCCCCAGCAGCAGTACCAGCAGCAGTACCAGGAGCAGTACCAGCAGCAGCACCAGCAGCAGTACCAGCAGCAGCACCAGCTGTCCAACTGTGTTTTCTCACCAGCTCTGATCCAGAACAGCTCCATGACCATCTACATGAACCAAAGTCTGTCCCGACACTTTCAAGTACAACGAAGGAGAACAAGACGAAGGAGGAGGAAGAGGAGCAGAGGCAGATTTCCTAAACCTCAGCGCCTCCTTCAGTGCGAGCAGTTACCAGTGTGTCAGAGGAAAAACATGAGGAAGGAGAAGGAGTGAAGAGGAGGAGGGAAGTGTTAAAGGAAACGGAGCACACACAGACTTCCTCTGCTCCCTGCCTGTGATCGAAGCACCTCCTCACACTGCTCCTCCTACCACCTCACTCTGTAACATGTGTTCCTATAGCACCTCCTCACACTGCTCCTCACGCTTTCACTTGTCTCCTGTTTTGTTTCTCCTCTAAAGAGAATCAAAAGAACAGGAAACAGAGTTCTTTGTCTGTTCAACCAGAGTCAACACTTCACAGCTGATGCTTCTATTCACTGTTGTCCTCTACACTCCACTCCACCAAACTGATCTAGGGAGCCCCCTAGCTGCTAGTAAGGAGAACTGCAGCCTCCTGAACTTTCCAACCATCTTCTGGAGAACATTGACTGGTGTTGACTGTGTCCTGATGTCACTCGGGACGTAAGCATCAACATACCAAACAGTGTCAACTTTGACCGACTGTAGCACCTGGGTGATTGCCATGGCAACCACAACCGCTGCCTTGTTCCCTCTCACACATAAGGAGGCTGTTTCCTGTCTCTGCCCCTCTTTTTCTTCTTCATAATTACTGTTCTTTCCGACATCTTACATCTGACTCGTCATATGTTAGCATGTTCCTCCTCTTCCTCCTCCTCCTCTTCCTCCACCCATCTCCACTGATGACCACTGAAAAATGACATCCTGTAGTAGTCAAAGAACAGAACAGACCATGTTTATACTTCATAGGTCATGTGACCACTGAGACGTCCTCTCCTGCAGGGGGCGCTGTATTGAAGTGAATTAGACTGCAATAAAGAGCGATAGTGTAATGTGTCTGGAGGTGTAAGAACAAGACGAAGAGTGTATTGGTGTGTATCGATGTGTATTACAACGCATGTGAAGAAACATATTAATGTGTATGAAGAAGCTGATTGGACGATACAGACGACGCCAAGAATTCAAACCAGTTTCTGTGTTTGTGAAGATAAAACAGTTCCAGGTTCTGATAAAGTCAAGGTCACATGTGGAGGAGCAACAATTGTTTGGAATGCAGAGTGTGTGTGTGTGTGTGTGTGTGTGCGTCCTGCACCTCCACCCCTTCCTTCCTTTATCTTCACTCCACCATCATCTAACACCTAACCTCCTTCTCTCCCCGTTTCTCATCCTCCCTTCCTTCTCCCTCTCTCTCTCAGATTTGCAACCAACAAATACACACATACACTCAGCATCATCTCTACCTCGCTCTCTCTCTCTCTCTCTCTCTCTCTTTAACGGAGACAATTGAAGAATCCATGAGTAATCACTTCCACACACTCAGCGAAGCAGCGGCCACAGAGACTGCAGCCAGTGTGTGTGAAATACAAAACAACCTCAGGCTTTACACACACACACACACATGCGCGCGCGTGCACACACACACACACACTGAAGTCCATTTGAACCTGATCAAGCAGAGATGGAGGAGAGGAGCACTGATGGATGAAGGCGGGGGTGGAGACACACCTGGACAGACATGGACAGAAGACTGGACTGAATGGAGGAAACATGAAGGAGAAAGAGAGGCATTCTGGGAAATGTCATGTGAAGAACTGAAAAAAAAAATAACATGAATGATCACATGACGGGAAAGAAATGATCTATGGATGGATGATTGACAGCTGACAGAGTGAGGAGACGGCTGTGTCGCAGGTGGAGAAGAGAGGAAGAGGACCGAGGTGGAGGGGAAGGTGGGATGGACAACGGATGGACAACGGATGGACAACGGATGGACGGCTGGACAACGGATGGACGGATGGACAACGGATGGACAACGGATGGACGGAAGGGTGGATGGATGGACGAATGACTGCTGACAGACAAAGCGACCAATCCCAGATCCATCCACACACCGTGTGAGAACATGAATGAAGGCTGAGCACTGGTGCATGTGAGTGTGTGCACGTGTGTGTGTGTGTGTGTGTGTGGACGCACAGCCAGACTGGTTAATCCTCTGCTCTATTCATCGATGCACTGATTGATTATTGGTTTCCCAGAACAATCGGTACCTGTTGCAGATTTGGGTCGGTGTCTCCCTTTGGGTCGTCGCTGGGAATTGCCGGAACTGTTCTTCCTGTCCCAAAACATGACCACCGCCTCATTCCAGACTAGCACGTGCGCACACACTCACACACACGCTGAGACACAGTGACACAGTGACACACACTGACTGAGCGGGCTGGAGGGAGAGAGGGAGAGAAAAAGAGAGAGAGAGAGAGAGAGAGAAAGGCAGAGATCGCAGCGTCACAGCATCACTGAAGACCCACCAGGAGAGAGTGTGTGTGTGCATCTGTGTGTGAGTAGCACGTGACTGCAGCTGAGGGTGAGCGAGGTAGTGAGTGACAGAGGATGAGAGAGAGAGAGAGAGAGAGAATGTATGAGTTTTTTCATCAGCACGCATGTGCTCAGTGCAGCTGAGAACGTGATCTGTGGACTAAACAGGCTGACTCTGTGTGTGTGTGTTTGAGAGAGACAGAGAGAGGGAGAGACAGACAGAGAGATCATGGGTTGTGTTGATCAGATTCTTCGTCAGTCACATGATTCAAGTGATGCTGATGTTCAATCCATGAAGATGCTCAGAGAGAAGAGCTGTGTGTGTGTGTGTGTGTGTGTGTGTTCATAGATAGTTCAGTCGTCAGTGATGTTACTGTAGCTCACAGACCAAAGTCCACAGACAGAGTCAGTGTTGATCCACTGCTGCCTCCATCACTCAGTTCAGATGTGTTATTTGTTTGTTATTCCTTCATATTTTATATTTCATTTCTTTACATCCCACTTCTAGGTTTTTGTAAATTGGATTTCTCTGTTATTTCTTTATTCAGTAGACGTTTGTAACGCGTCGATGACGTCATCGGCGACGCTCTGTCGATGTCATCAGCTGCATGATGATGACAAAACAGCAGCAGCAGCAGCAAAACAGCAGCATCATCATGGGTATCAGTCCACAAACACGCGCACGAGCACGAGCACCGTTTCTAAAAAGAAACCAAAGCTGGTGTAGAAAAGTGAGTTTGACGAAATATTTAAACGTTACACAAAACAAATAACAGATTATTTAAAAATAATGTTGGAATAAGCGCAAAATAAAGGATAGGCAGAGCTGTCTGCAGAAAGCTGAGCTTTGCTGCCGTCCTGTGGCCACGTTAAGAACTGAAACGTTTTATGCAAAAGAAAATGAATTTCGTATAAGTTTTTCTCAAAACTCCAGAAATACTTTTTTTATTTATAAGAAAATCTTTGATATTTGGGGTATATATATATTATATTCTTCAAATATAAACAAAATGAAAGGTTTGGACTATTCATTTCCCATCATGCATCTGTGCTTGCTTTCCTGCTGCAGAGACTGCACATTTCTCTCCTTCCTGTTCTGCCTCACATGTTAATCAGATTCTCTGACAGTGACACTCATCAGCTGCTCACACTTCCTGTTTAATCTGTTACCATGGTTACAGCATAACCAATGTACCAAATATGTACTAATATTTATATAATATAATATAATATTCCTCCTTTATATTTTAGTTTTAATTTATTGTTAGAAATAAAGAAACAAAAGAGAAACATAATAAACATTTTTATTCTATTAATTTAAAAAACATCCAGATGTGAACAGGATCGTATGTAGGTGTTTAGATGTATTTAGTTTCTTATAAAATTCTCTCCAACACACAGATACACACACACACAGAGAGAGAGACAGAGAGAGACAGAGAGAGAGAGAATACTGTTTTCCTTCAATCCCATCTTTTCTTCTGTGCAGTGAACAGGAAACTCCCATACTCAGGTTTTCTCTCCGACATTCAACCCTCTACACACACACACACACACACACACACACACACACACATAACAGTAAGACACACACTTTGAGTCATCTGGAAGTGATTGTGTTCACATTACATCAGTTCTGGCTGATGGTGGACAGAAAAGATCTGCACACACACAAACACGTACACACACACACACACATACACCTGCACAGACTCGTACACACACTTTTACACCCATAACCATAAAATAACATAATAATAATTATTGTAATTGTTGATATGTTTTTTGCATATAAGACAAGAGGGGGAAAAAAACAAAACTTCAGATCAACGATGACAACAACAACAACAATCCAGTTCAGCCATATCTGAAGCAGCCATGATTCCAGTCCGTCACAACATTCAGTCAGGTTAGTCTGGATTAGTCTGGATTAGTCTGGATTAGCCTGACACTAACATTCTTCATTTTAAGGACAGTCTGGTTAAAAAAATGTCTGAGCTGTATTATCTCTGAAAACAATGATGAGCCAGTGACGGTAGTGTACTGCCCTCTGCTGGTGACCAAATGTATTGATCGTATTCAGTTTTTGTTGTCTACCCCTTGATTGGACAAACTGATGGAGTTCCTTAGACAGACAAGCAGCAAGGACCGAACACACAGACACTGACACACAGGCCTGCACGTGCACACACACACACACACACACACACACACACACCTTTTCTTTCTGACTTGTTGTCGTTGGAATGGTCTGACTGTTCCTGTGAGAGTTCTCATTTTTGTTTTTTGTTTTTTGCTGAGAGGAAATCTGCTCTGGAAGACAACCAGCCAGCCTCGATTATCTGGATTTTTTTTTTCAGGAATTATTCTGGACTTGACCCACAAAGTAGATGATTGGCTGCCAGGAATTCAACTCTATAACAGCAGATCTCACCATTTCTGTTCTTCAGCTGCAGATCTGACAACAGAGAGGAGAAGGGGAGCAGGAGGAAAAGAAGGGGAATTTCGGAGAGGCCAGCAGGGAGGAGTCCTGAGTCATGAGCCCGATGTTTTTTATCCTCGTGGGAAGGAGGAGGAGGAGAATCAGGGAGTGAGGGGAAAGGAGGAGGAGTTTATCCCATTATTTTTTTCTCAGCCCTTCATTAAACATGTGGTCTTCAGGACAGGTTTGAAAGGAAACAGTCCCTGACACTTCTCCTGCTCCAATCACTGATTCATGTTCAGTCAAATCCAGCAGAGTTTGGTCGGTTTGTTCTGGGTTCACATTTCCAACTGTTGCCCACTCTAAGGAGACCAGATCTCAGATCAGTGTTGGGTTTTAGAAGGAAAAGTGAAACAAACAGAACAACCTCACAGCAGCTCATTACTATAACAGCATCCAGCAGAGGGCGATGTTGGTATAGTTTAACCTTAAATGAGTGACCTTTCGACACTTCATTGAAATGAAAAGGGTGACATGATGTTGAACCTGTTGTCGTCACATTTCTCAGTGCAGACCAGAGGCCCTGACTGATAAGTGGAGTCGGTTCCAGTTCTGGTTCCTGGAAAGATCAGCCAGTGGACAGGAAGGATTGAACTGAAGGTCAGCGAGGGAGAGAAGAAGAGTTCATGATCTTCTGTGAGACAGTGTCCAGTGAAGACAAGCAGAGACGCAGAGTTCAGAGGTCAGCTGTCACCAACACTAACACACACCACTAACACCAAGACTGATTCTGGATCAGATTCTTCCTCCTCGTTCTCTCTACATGGACCAGACTCTCCCTGAAGAAGGCATTATCTGTTACTGAGGAGAAAACTCACAGATCTTTTTCCAAACTGACAAAAACAAAAACAGATTTTGTTCATTTAAAGAAGACACTCGGAAACATGCAGTTGGCAGCAGCAACAGACACAACTCTGAGAATCATCACATCTTCAGCTTCACCAAACCAGAGCGACTGAAGGAGAAGCAACAGAATTAGCAGCAGCAGCAGGAGCTGTAGCATCAGTACATTTAGCAGCAGCAGCAGGAGCTGTAGCATCAGTACATTTAGCAGCAGCAGCAGGAGCTGCAGCATCAGTACATTTAGCAGCAGCAGCAGCAGGAGCAGGAGCTGTAGCATCAGTCCATTTAGCAGCAGCAGCAGGAGCAGGAGCTGTAGCATCAGTCCATTTAGCAGCAGCAGCAGGAGCTGCAGCCTCAGTACCTTTAGCAGCCGCAGCACGAGCAGCAGCAGCAGCAGTAGCTGCAGCATCAGTACATTTAGCAGCAGCAGCAGCAGCAGGAGCCTCCGTCTCAGTGGCTTCAGCTTCATCCCTAACTTTGGGATCAGCAGTTTCAGAATCTTTCTACAAAACTTAAACCTTCAATCACACAAAAACAAAAAGAGACAATGGCCATGATGATGATGATGATGAAATGATGAAGACTGATATTGATTTCTCCAGCTTTTCTTCCCACATGTTGGTGAATCAGTCAGAGCCCACACACTGAACTTACAGCCAACGCAGAGGAGCTGGGTCTTTCACATGGATTAAAGTGTCAGTTCACAATTTTAGATGAGTGTTATCACAACATCAGGACCAATACTGTGGTCGGAGCTGCCTTCAAAACGCTGTTACAGCAGGTCATAGGCACCTGGGAGACAGATCATCAGTGGGAGAGTATGGCTGACAACTGAGAGAGCAGGAGGAAAACATCAACGCTTTATCTCCCTGTCAAACAGGAAATGGCAGTTTGCAAACGCCTCACTCTGTCATACCAGAGTCCACGGAGAAAATCAGTGATTTTAGCTCACAGACCAGAGTCCACGGAGAAAATCAGTGATTTTAGCTCACAGACCAAAGTCCATAGAGAAAATCAGTGATTTTAGCTCACAGACCAAAGTCCACAGAGAAAATCAGTGATTTTAGCTCACAGACCAAAGTCCATAGAGAAAATCAGTGATTTTAGCTCACAGACCACAGGGTTTGATGTGCCCGTGAGTTAAAATCACTTCTTTTCTCAGTTTTTTAGAATAAAAGTTTCAGTTGCACCAAAGTCCCAAGAGATATTGACCATCATCAGCTAATATGACCACAGAAACAAATATTTGCGCCAACCGTCTTGTTTTAAATCAAATCAAAAGTTTAAAGCATGGAAACGTGCACTGCGCGTTCTCGTGGCCCATTCGGGATTTTGCACCTATAAGATCTTGGCAGGGAAAAATCAGCAGCAACACAACTACTCCGATTGCACTGAACTTTGACTCAATAAGTGACACCAGGTGTGCGCGTGTGCACGTCCGTGCGTTTGGATGAGTGCATGTGTTTTCTTTTCATTTCCTCTCTCTTTCTCCAACTAACCTCTGGTTGGAGGTCTGCTCAGCAGCTCCGTGACTCTCTTCTGCAGCTTCGCTACTCTGAGCTCCAGCGCGCACGAGCGGCGACACACGCACGTCAGCTCCTCCTGGAGTTCGTCCACGATGTTGACGGTGTGACGGGACAGATCCGAGAGCTGGAGCAGCAGCGAGCACAGGCTGAACCCGCACACGCCCGTCAGGTCCGAAAGAAAGACCTGCGCCTGACAATCCTGCCGCGTACGCGCTAAAACGCCGCCGCGGCTGCCGCGGGTGGCAGGTCTGCAGACCTGAGCTGGGAGTATGGTCCTCTTATGGAAAGGCATGGTCTTCACTCAGAAGAACCAGAAGAAGAAAGTGCGTGTGGAGTCAAGTTCAGTTCTCCTGACGCGCACGCGGAAAGTGGCCGCGCGTTTGCAGCATCTGCACGCGCGTCCTGAGTCTTCATAGTTTTTCTGTGTTTGGTCAGTTTGGACTGAGAGAGCTGCTGAAGGAGATGGGGGGGGGAGTGATAGAGAGAGAGGGGGAGAGAGAGAGAGAGACAGTGAGAGAGAAAACACATTTCCGCTCTGAACTTTCACTATAAAACACTTGTTCACTGAGAAGCCCAAATCTTTACTGACACCTAAACCATGATCTTCTTACAACCTTGAAACTTAAAAAAATCAAACACAGGCTAACGTTTAGCTACTTCACAGTCTATGCTTTACTGCATGCTGGCTTACCTTTGGCTGTTCAATGCTAACTTTTAACTATACTCTATATAATCTTTTGAGGCTAACATTTTGCAACTGTTGATTTATTGTAGCTTTCTAACTGGCCAACGTTTGGGTTTGGGGGAACGATTTAGGGTTAACATAAATGTTTCAGAGAAGTTTTAAATTCTCCTGTTTCTAATCTGAGACTGAAATGTCATAACACCCCCCCACACACACACACACACACACACCTAAACACAGAGCTCCCCTCTCTCCCCTAACCTTCATGAACAAAAACATTTGTGCTGACTTCAGCCTGGGAGGAGTTTATATTGCTGCAGGGGCCCAGGGCCGGGGGCTGTGAGGGAACTGGGGGTCTAGGTCTGGGGGGAGAGGGGGAGCTTGGTCCTAACTCTCTTACTCTGAGGACCAGATGTGCTTGTTTTTATTAAGGAAAAGGAGAAAGTGTAGCAGAGGGAGGGGAGCGCTGAGCTGCTGCTGCTGTTTCACAACCAGAAACGTTTTTCATTTTTCCTGAGAATAAAAAAAAAACAACGGTCATTTCACAATGACTTAAACCACAGTAAATCAGCAACACAAGTGAGTGTGGATGACAATGAACACACACACACACACACACACACAATAAAGCCAGTAACTCACACTCCATGAAATGTAACCATAAACATCTATAATGGATTATTTGGGTTACACAGCCATGTCAGTCAATCAGTTATCATTTTTTTCAGAGTAAATTGGTGTGAGAAAAAGCAGGTCTTTGTTTACACACACAAAGGTTGTGACCTAGCGTGTTTATTATTGATGTGGATCAATAACATCAACAATCAGCTGCACCACAGACAATTGATCTGTTTTTTAGAAGAAACAAATTCAGAGAAACACAGACAAACATCAGATCGATCACATATTGTCTGTTGACACATGATCAATATTTTCGATGGAGGATAATGAAGATTTAACAGCCAATCAACAACATTGTGTGAGTGTGTGTGTTTGTCTTGAGTGAAGAATGTAAGCGAGTAAAGGAAGCCAAGCATTTGATTATGGGAGTGGTCACATGACCTCATTTTGGCTGCTTCTGCCAAACTTTCTTCCTGACTCTGATGTCACTGAGCCAATCAGGGTTTACTAACTCAAACAACAACAAAAAAAACCTGATAGATCACATTTTCATCTGAATCATACACCTCAGAGAGTTTGTCCAATCGGGAAACAAGTTGTCAATCACATAAAAGCTATTGATTAGAACCAGCTGTTGTCACTTGGACACACACACACACACACAGCCTTAGACTGAGCTTCATTGTTTCGGCAGCTCTGGCTTCATTTACTCACTTTTGACATAAACCACACATTAGAATGAACAGGGATCTGTGCATGACAGGTAGCTGCCACAAGGGGGCGACTCCTCAAGACCCAATGAATCATGATAATGAGGTCTAATTCGGTTTATGGTGTTATTGTTTACATCTTTATTTCACCATCAGTGTTACACCAAAGACCACAGACCAAAGTCCACAGAGGAAATCAGTTTTCGTTTCGTTTTCGTTTTTAGAAGACATTTCACCTCTGAGGTGAGGTGCGACAATAGTGACAGCTACTCTGTCACTAGGTCATAGCGACACAGTAGCTGTTTGTCCACTGCAGTCTCCATTGATTAGTTTGTGACACTGAGATAATTCTCAAAATTTCAAACAGAAAAGACAGAAAATGATGTAGTGGAATTTCATGATACAGTTGGTCTGTTCCAGATTAAAATCTTCTCTTTGGACTTTGGCTATGGAAGAGCTAGAGCAAACAGAATTCTGGGCTTTAAATCCCAATAATCAGACTGGATCTGTTGGTTGTAGGTGTAAAACCTAAATTTAGGATTTCTTTATTTGTTCTTTTTTAAATAAAGCAGATTTGGAATCAGTCACTGGTGTGAGGCATGTACCTACCTCCACACACTGACACACACACACTATCCTGCTGTGTGTGTTATTTTGTCATGCGCTGCTGAGCTCAGGAATCAAAGTCACGAGTTTTAGATTTAACACACACACACTCTCACTCTCCGCCAAGGAAGTGTGTGTTATAGTGTCCAGATTCCTGCCGAGCAGAGCCGTCTGCTGCTCAGCACTGACCATATGGACTGGACTCTTGTCAGAACACACTGATGGGAGGGAGGAGGAGAAGAGGAGGGTGAGG